TGATTCAGGGAGTGGGATAATTGGGATGGGAGTGTCAGAGACAGTGCGATTGGCACAGGACAGAGTGGAGTTTAGGGCTGTTGTACATAGGGTCTCTATGAGTCGCAAGCGACTCGACGGCACATAACACAACAACAACAACAACAACAACAACAACAACATAACATAAGCAAGAGTGGCATCCACTTCCAAAATGGCTTGCCTGTGGAATCTCTATGAACAGTGCTCGGGCCTTTTATTCATAGGGTTGCTATGACCCTATGTCTACGACTTGATGGCACTTAACAACGACAACATAACATAAGCTCAGTAAGACCCTATGTCTACGACTTGATGGCACTTAACAACGACAACATAACATAAGCTCAGTAAATGAGTAATCAAGTGTGGTAGACAACAATAGGTTTTTTTAAAGAAAGGATGAGGCAAATCAATCTATTTATCTATTTCCTCTTAAAATCACACACACACACACACACACACACACACACACGCTGAAAACAATTTGGAACAATTTAATTTCAGAATGCTCAATTCTAGAGTCTGTGGTATGTAAAACCACACACTGCAATGAAAAACTACTTTGTATACTCCTAAATGAAGCATCTTTTCGAAGAGTCAGAGTTGGCAGACAAACCTAAGGTGACTAGCTATGTGGCAGACCCATGGAACAACATTTAGGGCCCAGACAAGAAACCTGACAGCCACAAAGCTGATCGAAACATATGCTGCTTCTACAACAGCACAACTTTTTATTGGTAGTGATATCACTATAAACTATATTTCACAGTGAGTTAATATTTTCTGAAAGAACCTTGACTTAACCAGTAATAGAATGGTGAGAATCTAGATTTTAATGATTTCTTTATATGGTTTAAAAAAAAATAAAGATGTCACTCTAAGGATTAAGGTACATTTGATCGAAACCACAGTTTTTGTTTCAATAACCTCATATAAATAAGAAAGCTGGGCAATGACTAAAGAAAATGCAAGACCTGATGCATTTACATTATGGTGCTGTTGAAGAATACTGACTACGTCAGACTGTCAGAACAAATCTGCCTTAGAAGGAGTATAGCCAAAAACAAAAAAATAAAAAAAAAAAAAAGAAGGAGTATAGCCAGAATGCTTCTCAGAAGAAAGTCTAGGGGGAGCTCTGGTGGCCTAGTGGCAAGGAGCTGCAACTACAATCCCAGAGGCAAAAGGTTCAAATCCACCAGATGCTCTGCCGGGGAAGGAGGGGAAATCTCCTCCTGTACCAGTCAGATTTGATTTGACGGTACACGCACACAAAAATAATAAAATTTAAA